CTAATATTACCAATGTTAGACTTATTTATCTGCTTTGTGCACAGAGTAGAGAAACAAACCCAACTCACACAAATGCACCACGACCACCAACACATGCACAAACACACTTGTTTACCAGCACCGGCTCAGTAATTGACACATCAAAGACAGCTGTGCAGATTTTCTGTTTTTTAGCTTTCAGTTCGTTGCTAACTTCTTTTGTTTTAGAGTGTTTATTAGTGTTTTCTCCCTCATCAACCGCGTCTTTCTCTTTTAAACAACTTCTTCAGGCATGTTATTATTCAAACCATGTCTGCGCCAACTCCGCTAGCTGAAAGAAACAAACCATCCCTCTCCCTAGTTTGAAATTTCTCCTCTGTCGCCTGAAAGCCTTGGCCTGTTAATTCATTTGTTCTGACATACGTCCTTTATACCATGCAGACCACCCCAGTGCATTGTGAGAGGTTTATATACACAAGTGCTAAAGCATATCCTGAGCTGTCCAAAATTCCATACTAAAGTAATATTTAGTGTGCAGAGATTTTTTTTTGTGCGTCTGAAACTTGTATATATACCCAATAGTATGCGAGGTGGGGAATAATATGGTATACCAGCAGTGGACACTACACCAGCATAAACATCACCCCACGGAAGATATCAGAGGCTGAATCAGACATTATGATTTCCTGGAAGAAAACAAAGCCCAGAATAATAACAGGACTACAGGGTTTCTTATGCCTTTCAAAATGGGCCTTTGGGGGGTGATTCTGCATATAAACACACACATATTTAACCTCCTAGGACCTGGCGTCAGCATATGTGGACATCACATTTTGGGTTGTCTAGACCAAAATACTAAATTTGGCTCTACAGGGGCCTGATATCCACTTACGAGGAAATTATACTGCCACTGTTCTACCAAAATTTAAAACGTATGTCCTTATATGTGGATCTTATTTTTCTCGGAAACAAAAATCAGGTAGAAAAAAAATCTGGTAATTCTTTGTTTTTACATTCATCAGGTTCCAATCAGTCCCAATTGGCAAAGAGAAATTAAAAATGCATGCCATTAAAGAGTTTTGGGTCTTAGGAGGTTAAGTCAGTGTTACCTTAGTTGTCAAGAGTGGGGGGTTTCTGTAAAGGCCATTTAACAAACCCAAAAGATTCTAATTGATTAATTAAATCCAACTTAAACTGGTCAAAAAGTGTTTTTTTATGGAGAAAAAAAATTCCTCCACTTACATGCCACCATCTACATATTACCAAGCTCAAAATGACCATCGTAATATAATTATATGTTTCTTATGCTAAGTTGTGCATTTCAGATACAAAGTATAACTGGGGCTGAAAACATGAGATTTGCAAGTCATATGCAAAATAATTTGTATCATAAATGCAAAAGCCTTCCATGCATACATTTACTTAACCTTTTATCCAGTTGGGGTAACAGGGGGCTGGAGCCTGTCTCAGTCATCATAGGGGAAGTGGGAAAGTACATCCTGGATAGGTCTGTCACAGGGCTAACACAAAGAGACAAACCATTCACCCTCACGTTCACATCTGTGGTCGATTTAGAATCACCGGTTAGCCTAATATCCGTATCTTTGGACTGGATTACCCAGAGAGAGCCCCACTGCCTCCTTAAAAGTTGTCTCTTTGTGAGACACTGTACCATTTCTAGTCCTTCTGCTAAGGTTTTATCACAGTTTGCAACGATCATTCTGACCTCCTGTAAATGTGTATCTGTTTGCTATGTCAATATCATGACCTTTTATGTTGAATTTGGAAGGAGGACGAAGTCACAGGTAACCAAATACAGTGAGTAGCGCTGGTGCTAAGTGAGGATTTTGTTGGTGTGGCCAGAAATTCCTGTGCAATGTGTTGTGAGAGTGTATGATGGAGCAATGAAATATGGCATAGTTCAGGTCATCACGGCAGAATCTGCTGACAGTCCAACCCTGGAGTCGACTTCACCGTGCACAATCCCATAAATGTCAAAAAAAAAATAGAGTGCGAGCTCTTGACTTGATGGATCATCTTGGAGGTTGCACACTCCAGGTTCTTCCACTGAAAAATAAGAGTAATCTGAGTTGTAGCTGAAGATCTACGTCTCATCACCAGTGATGATACTTGACATGGAATTTGGGTCAGTTTGACATAGCTGTGATTCTGAAGTTTAACGTACACAAGAAAGTGGCCGTGACCAGGGAGTGAGCTCAGCTGTAGAACTTTATGATCACTTTTTTGATCATATCTTTGTCAGAATTTCTAAAATTGTTAATAATCTACAATTTAACACCGTAGAGTCGTGCTGCTTTCGTGGGAAAAAAGTGTATCACTACTATTGTTGGTAGAAAAGTTCCTCTGATTTCCTAGTAGCACTGGGGTTTAATTGTATTTACTGACAGACGTAACTGTTATTATTTTTTTTTTATTTGCTTTTTTTTGTCACAGACATGTGGGGAAACAAAATTATTTCATTCGCTACACTAAATATTATGTACAGATCAACATTTTTCAAGTGTTTCTCTCTAAGCATGTCTTATTATTTCAAAACTATTTTATTTTTCATTAAAAAAAAACACTTTTACTGGCTCAGAAATAACCAGGCGGTAATTTTACACAATCTTATAGCATGTCAGTGCCGCTGGAGTTTTGCAGGTGTCAAAGCTATGTAGAGGTGTTCAGAACATACGATGAAAGGTATTGTTCATTTCCTGAAGCAATTTAACAAATAATCACTCACTCTTTTGTCTCCACATCTTCACCCTCTCCTTTAGGTGACGTGTAATTGCTTCACCATCAGTGATGGGGAGCTGCAGGAGATTGGAGTTGGCCTGTATCCAAGGTAACAAAGGGCAACGTGGAGAGCATGCACATCTAAAAAGCATCATTAATTTCAATCTCGCTCGTAATCTTTGTTAGATGGCACTCTTACTAAGCCACAAAATTTAAAAGCTGCGTAGACTTACCTGCCCGATCACTGCGCCCTAACCAACCCCACCCGTCCTCGTACCTGCTTGCTTTTAAAGCCCTGCCTGCGCTTCTCGATGTTTTCCTGACAGTTCTTTGAAGTAGCAGGAAAAAGGGGGGAATCAAGGGAGTCAATTTTTGCTGTAAGGCAAAAACCTGAAAATGAATGTTGACTGTATATATTATAATGCTGTTAGGGGAAGACAGATGGAAAAGGAACGCTGGAATTCATAGAGAAATGCTAGGTTTGACTCCCAACTGATGTGGGATTGATAATGTGTTTGTTGTGTAGAATAGGGGGCACATTATTCGTGCAATGTAAGTAATTAGTGTGAATTTCTGTAGTTTGAGTAGATTTCGCTGTGTGACTGTAACATTAACCAGTCATAAAGTGTGTAAGTACGTCCATTTTTAGTAGAGCAGTTAACAAAATATTATTCACTCTCTCTGCTGTCCTAGAAAGTGGAATGAAGGCCGTATACAGCCTTGCACTGGCATATTTTTGCCTTTTCGAATCACTGCAGAGACTCACCGAAAGACTAAAAATCTTCATGTCACAGTTGGGCTCTATAGCTCAGGAAAGGTAATCCTGGTTGCTCTTCAAACCTCTGGTGTTGTGTAGATTTTGAATATCTGCCTCAGTTTTATTCACATTCATTCTGATATGTCTTCCTATCGTAGTGGAAATACTGTAACTGTGTACGCAGACCTCACAGGTTACACACATGTGCATAAGTGTTGATAAACCCCTTGACCTGATTTAGGGATGTGAGCATGGCCCTCACTCAGATGGTCCAAAACTTGAAATGGTCCTCATAAAATACACACGAATACACACTGAGACACACACAGCAGTGCAGTACTGTATGCACTGTAATCCATGTATTGAATCCCGGGTGAATGGGGTGGGATTTGGCCTGGTGTTGTACATGTCGTTAGTGTTGTCACACACACAGACACACACCCACACAAACACACACCACAGGTATCCCTGCCAGTTTATCTGGTTCGTGTTGAGATGTCAGATGGTCACAGTGGCATTACCAAAGCTCAGCCAAACCACGTGGGTCTATGTGCGATTTGTGTTGTAACTCATCCATAAATAATGGGCCCGTTCTCAGAATGGTCCCCCTGCCTATTCATATTTTGGGTTGCCTAGCAACCATGGGTTTGCCGAAGAGAGGGGGATTACTGTGGTGAGACTACACCTCCGTTCATCTCACCGCTTTCTGCTCATTTTCTGTCTCTGTTATATTTCAAAAACTCTTTTTCTCATTAGCAGACTTTCTCGTTCTCCTCTCAGCTGCACTCATCCGTACCGTAACCCTCTTTCACTGCTAATTGGCCTATTGACAACATGATGTGAAATCCTCAGAGCGCTCTATCAAAGGCAAAATGATTGAGAATTGTTGAATTGATAGCACAGATTACGTGTTGTAATCCTCCTCAACCATACATTTTATATTACCTCGTTTTAACCCCCATGTGGATGCATGGAAATCCTCCCAGGGGTGCAGTGCAACAAAAGCAGGGAAAAGAAATTACTTAACAGTATAACATGCAGACCTGAAAGATGTTTATGAGGGGCACACTTTTTAGAAAATGGAGTCACTTGACTGTGTTGGAAATCAAAAATTAGATGAAATTTTCTTAGCCTCTATTGGATGACATCAGTTTCCGCTTGGTTACATGAATTGATAGTGGCCCTGTGTCAGATTGGTGACCTCTCCAGGCCTCTACCCTGCCTCTTGCCCAATGGTAGCCAGGTAGGCTTCAGCCAATACAACTTCTCTATTGCTAGATCACTTTAATCCTCACCCCAGTCAATGTTCTCGAATGAATCATAGCAAAAAACAACTTCTTTATAAAGCAAGTGTATTTAAAGCAGGTGATTAGGGGTTTAGCAATTCTGATTCCATTATTGATGATTGATTATTTCCCCCTTTTGTTGTGATCAGTGTTTGGGTCATTACTCAAAAACAGTAATTATTACCTGTAATACGCAGAACACTTTTCTTTAAAGTAATGGAGTATGTTACTCAATGACTCCAAAGAGAAGTAATTTGTTACATTATTCGTTACATTATATTCTAGTTTCTCCGTAAAATGACTTGTAACACACTCTCTCATAATTGCCAGTTAACAATATAAACTGAGGCTACAGTCCCACACACCAACACAAATCTGTATCATAAAGAGACACACATACAATCTTTCTCTTGGTATTTGGGTATGAACACAATGCAGAAATAACCAGCACAAAAGAGATTTCAAAGTAATGAAAGCCGCAGTGATGCTACTTTAGAGAGATGAGCAGGTAAACTGCGGTAGTTGTTTGCAGTCATGGAAACAACAGCCTGACTGCTCATCTGTTTGTTACCTGTTTACATTCAATGTCTGGCTGCTGGACTCGTGGTCGGCATTCATTCACACTCAGCTTTAACATCACTCTGGGTTCTTGGCTGGCAGTCGGTGTAGATGTTTGCAAAAAGCCAAAGTTCATTTAGCAGCATAATCTAGTTGTTTCTTTCCATTTTACCATTGCATTCCTCCTCCAGTACACAGACTGAAATAAGCTGATTGTAGCACAAGCGCAAATGTAACCGAGAAGCAGAATCAGTAGGCAAGCAGACTAACATTTCCAAGTAACTGAACTACTGGGAACCGATTCTCGATTCCCAACCCCACAGATTCTGGTTCAAGTCTAACTAAAAAGGTATATACATTTTGGGTTTAGCGTTTAATGCTCCTGTGTTAGTACAGCAGTGAACCACCTCGAAGCTGAGAAAAGAATCAATTGTGAAATAAAGATGACACAATAGAAACAAAGAGATGACATATGTAAGCTTTTTCCATAATTTAATACCAGTTATAATTAAGGATAATAGTCCTTTACTATCTGCAATCTCACACAATATTTCGCTCTCCGCCCTGCTACTGCAACACTTAGTCTCAGTTAGTGTGAGCCGATACTGTTAATGTGAGATGTGGTTTAGTTAATTAATCTAATTAGTATGCTAATGAGCTTCCTTCTATCAGATGAAAGCATCGTTTGGAGCGCTTGATTCCTAGTTGATATTCAACCTGCAACTTCTTCACTGTAGAACAAAGCCAGGGGGTTACTTTTACAAAGACTGAACACACGCACACACACGCGCGCACTTTATCTGTTGGACCTATTGTTTTGCTGAATATGATAAACGAGTGCAGCGGTAATGGAAGGGGTCATAAAAACAGACAAGCCTCTTCAGTATTTTTCACGGCCATGTGTGCAGTGACATTAAATGTCTTTTTATGGGTCACAGAGGTCGTCAAGTACTTCTTTAAAAAGCACAATATCAACACGCACAGTTACATGCTCAGCATGAGAACGATGCACATCAGGTCTTTCAGTTAATTAGTTCAGCTTGCAAAGCAGTTGGATTCTCTTGAGATGTGCAAGATTACAATCATGAGAGAATCCATCTTTCCATGCTTCAAGTTCTTTAACCTTTAGAAAACCACAGTTGGACAGGAACAGTCAGCGTGCTACCAGGATCTACTAGCTAATAAAGTTTTGCTACAGGGAATTTTCGGTACAACAATCTTATGTGACATTTTGTAGGCAATTCAGCCAATAATGTGCCAAGAATATTTTTACTTTTATCTAGTACATCCATAATTTAAACATCTCACCTCTCATGGTTGTCTCCATTCGATTGCACCTACATGTCAGTGGGAAATGCATCACATGTGGAAAACGTTTTTACAGTTCCTAAAGTAGCTTGTTTGTGGATACTGGTTAATTTTAAAGGGGAAAAAAAAACACTTTTATATTGTAAAGAAAAACTGTAAATAAAACCACTTATATGTGGTATCAGTGTCTCCATCAAGATGCTGTCAAAATAAATTTGGGAGTGAATGAGCAGGAAGCTGATTTGTGTCGGTAATAAAATTGGGAAATGAGATAAAAGCCTTTGTTGTGACAGAAGTGGAGTACCCATCGTTTCCTGATTTATTGTGCGCCTGTCTGAGAGGCAGATAGACCAACAGAAAGAAATAAAGAGTGACATTTGTTATGACAGAAGCAGACTACTCATTTTGTCACACTGTGCAGGGAATTTTGTGTGTGCATATGTGTGTGTGCGTGTAACTTTTTGCTTGCGTGAGTGTTTTGTTTGAGAGCTCCGTCTTACATGTGCAGAATTAAAGGTAACATTGCCAGATGATTTTTAAGCCCCTAACAGCACCTTGGAGTCGGGATCTTTTTATCTTTAGGGAGAAATGTCACCCAGCGTGTGTCTTTCTCTCATCATTATGCTGCCACAAAGTAACATTACAGTCAGCACCGGACTGACTGAAACCCCAAAACAGTTGGACATGTAGCAGCTGGTGGCTCAGCAGGAATGAGTCACTTCTTATATTTTCCAAACACCACAAGTAAACAGTTTCTCATCCTTTATCCTCTCGGTGTACGAGTATTTAGGAGAAGGGGCTGCCAGTCATCGTTTAAGGAGGGCGACACAAACGCATACAAACTTTGTTAGAGTTTATTTGCAAGTTAAACATTTTATCACACATCTCTCAGGCTTCCTCCAACTTTTTGTCCATCTCTTTTCTCTCTTTCACTTTTCCCTCAATTCATTCTTCTTTCAGTTTATCTCTGTTAAACCACGACTGCCGGCCAAACTGCGTGATGGTGTTTGAGGGGACGAAGCTGGAGCTCAGAGCTGTTCGGGATATCGACCCTGAAGATGAGGTATGATGAATAAATAACCTCACAGTATGGCTTTTGAACGATATAGACTCTGAAACCAAGAACTATATCTGTCATGAAGTGAATTTTATTATGCAAGTAACAAATACTGTATACTTATCCAGTATTTGATAGATGTACACTGAATTAAATGTTATTAAAGAATTATTACAAGATGTAGCCAAGTGAAATTTCATAGCAACACAAGCCGGATCACAGCTCCTAACTTGGCAGTGTTTTCTCCAATTTTCCATACTTCATCATCCCTTGTGACTATATATAATGAGATTAATCCAAGCCATCTGTCCTACAAGACACACAAACACACACACACACGCGCATTACTTCTACAGTATTACATTTCTTCTTTTTAGTCTGTTTTCCAAATGTCTAATACAGATATGTGCTTAACACTGATCCTCAAAATATGGCCTCAAATTTATTTAAGTGCTGTAGGTAAAAGGAAAATTAAATTTGAGCAAACTGTTTGTTTCTCATACTAAGCCGCTCTCTCTCTCTCTCTCTCTCTCTCTCTGTCCAGCTAACTATAAGTTACATCGAGACGTTGTCACTGACTGAAGATCGGCAGAGGCAGCTGGAGGAGCAGTACCATTTTACCTGTCACTGCCAGCGATGTGACTCTCGAGACAAGGTCAGAGGCAAACAAATTAAATTGCGGCCTTCATTCACTTGTAATCAGGATTACAGCTATTTATTTGGGTGTTTTTCCCCCCCTCACAAAAAGAGACGTATAGAATAATATGTCTAACAATCAGAGCAAAGCAGCTAAGTTTCATCACCTATCATCACCAAAGGTGGTAGCCCTCTAGATTTCCAAACTCTTCCTAATCATACCTGATCTTTTTTGGTGAGGGGTCACATTTGAGACTTGCACATATCGCTGTCGCCATAGCTCGAATATTCTATTTTTACTATACGATGAGTATAGAACGACACGGGCGAAAATATATTTGTTGAGTGAGTGAGTGCCTGCGATGGATGCAGTGGTGGAAATGTCACTGTTTCATTCATAACAGATCATTTTGAAACGTCTATATCATTTTCCAATATGAACAGCTCCAATAAACTGGTTAAAAGTCTGTATTGATCCTTTTGTCCTCTTATCATTATAACTGAGTCCATAGTGTGCACATGGTTAGCCACTTTCAAAGGGCAGAAACACACTCTTTCACACACATCTGTGTGTATGATGATTTTGCACCTTATTGTGATAGTTTTTAACTTTGTAAAAAATATTTGTGGAATTTCAACCGTACATCCTTACTGCCTGTCTCTCTCTCTATTTCACAGACACGCACGTGCACACTTTCTGTTAGAGTGTATCGGTGCGTAACGTGTTTCGGTGTACCCTTTCCTGTCCTCCTCTCCTTTTCCCTCCTTCACTCTCTCACACATCCTGTGTTATCTCCTGCTCTCCTCCTCGTCTTCCCCTCTGTCACTCGGTCACGCTCCACCTCGTCACATCCACTCTCACTCTCTGACCACCTACTGAAAAATGAGAAAAATTATCTTGTCTTGCGGCTGCAGTTTTCTTTTCCATCCATCTTAATCTGCTCCATCTTCCTCCTGCGCTCTCTTTCTTTCGATGTGTCTGTTTTCTTTTCTCTCACTCGTATCATCTTTTTGTCACTGCTGCGACTTCAGCCTCTAGCTTTGTTCTCTCTGTGCTTTATATGGCACTTCACTCTTACTCTAGCACAGCGCTTTTAATGCTTGTGTGTTTGTTTGAGACGAGTTAAGACGGAGCACTCAGTTGACTCTCTGGAACAATGGCATTGATTCATTTTTTTGCCACCGACCTTTGTTCTGCACACAGTAGTGACAGAAACACACACTTTCTCTTTCATTCTGCTTGTCTTTAATCTTGACATCAAACCACAGCGTGGCTGTTTTCTCTCTGTGCATGTGTTAGGATTTACACAAATTGCACGCTTCATTTTACAAAATTTTACTCATAATTTTAAAGAAAAAAGCAAAGTTTTAGGATAAATTTCTCTTTCTCATTCCCTTTAATCTTGTAACCTTTTCCTTTCTGGCCTGAAACAGGACAAAGGTCACTGTGAATCACACAATGGGTTTTTAATAAACTTAATCTAGTGTTTATTTATTCCATCACACCACAGCGGTTATGCATAGATGGATCTCTGGAGGCCCCATTCTGTCCCCTTAACTTCTGCGATGTCTGCTGAACTCAGCTATAGTATCAAAATAGTTTTCTTCCAACTTGATTTTTATGTTTTGGAGGTCAAAGCCACGGGGAGACAGTTCTGGCGTGCAGGGCTGGTGGTGAGTGATAATTGTGTTGTTCATAATGTAACCTTCAGGGAGTGATCTACACAAGAAGTTATTTTAAAAGTTATGAAACTTAAAGCTCCTTTCAGCTGCTCCCTTGTTCACTACGGATTGCTACAGCGAGTAACTCCACATATTGGAAATGGCAGATTTTTATACCGGATACCTTTCCTGTCACAAACCCAAAGATTTTTTGTCTCCTCCCAAAATTGAACTGGGGATTTTGTTTTTCATTTTTTAGGTGAATGTGTAAACCACTACTCTATGGAGAATCTAAGTTGTTAAACTTAAACGTAAAAGTTTTTGATTGATTCCCAGAATTTGTTGATCAGACCTTGTATGTTCATGAGATTGTTTGGTTGTTTCAGACATAGATTTCTGCTCATCAGTGTGGATGTTAAAGTAGTCCCTCCTTACTAATGTCTTTGCTCAGGATGGACTCATGCTCTCAGGCGAAGAAGGAAAATGGCGCCTGCTGAAGGAGGCTCTACCAAGACTGGAAGGGCTGAAAGCCGAGTCCAGTATCCTTTGTCTCTGTCAAGTTCCTCCAAAGCCAGTGGACACCGAATCTCTATGAGAACTTCTTGTAATTGTCTGCTGTTCATATTTCATGTAACTGATAAGACAAGCATCAATTAATGAGACATAGTTGAAGTGAGTTTAGTTGCTTAATGAAACATGATACTGTAACTCGACTGTCTTAAGTTAGGTCGTAAGTAAGATCGAATTACTTTGGTGCTGATCAGATTAGATCAGAACTTCATGTACTGATGTACAAATGATGATGATGGTGGCTTCATTGGTTGGTTGGCAGCTCCGAGTAATTAAGAGTCTAATTAAAAGTGGATTGAGATTCTGTGCTTTCATCACCATAAAGCTGGCGTAACCATTTTCATCATAAAACAACACAAAGGAGGGAGAGAGACAAACATCAGATAGTTTATATCATTCAGCACAGAGAAGTAAACTGATTTATGCAATGTTGTTTTCATAAATCCTTAAGATTTCCCTGAGGAGTCTGCAGCTTTAATCATATTTTCGGGGATGCAGGATGAATGTTACTTTTCCTTAATTCACCTTCCAGATTGGGAAATGCTGTTGGAGAGCTGTAGGCATCTGTTATCAAGCGTTGGTGGTGAAATTCCTGAGGAAAATCTATACAAGCTCAGAATTACAGACATGGCTTTAGATGCTACAGTTCACCTGGGACGCTGGGAGGAAGCTATGAGTTACGGAGTGACGACACTTCCAGCATACAGGTGAGTCACTGTGTGCATGTTTCTGTTTGGCTCAGGCAGTACACTGTCAAGGTAACTGAACTGTCTGTGTTTCACCCACGAATGACTAATATATCATCAGATGTAAAGAAAGAAAGAAAGAAATCATTTTCCTATATTTGTGTACGTGTGTCTGGATTCAGGGCGTTTATCAGACCTGGTATTAGGATAAGCATTAAGTCTGACTGCATTCAAAGTGCTGTTCACTGAGATGAGGGAGGATTGCATAACCTTACCAGTATAAATTAGTACAGAGATATGGGTTTATTTAACCGTCCTGATGCTTTTTATAGTCATCTCAAAACTTCTGCATTGTGTTTAATTTTAGTATAGATCAATCTTTACTGTTTTTAATACTAAGAAGGCAAGTCGGAGAGTGTTCAGTTGCTACCATAGGGATTAGGGAAGATTAAGTTACTTGATGTAGTCCTAGACTTTAGTAGATATTATCATCCATCCATCCATTTTCTGCAGCCTATCTGAGTCTGGGTCATGGCAGCAGTGGTTTGAAAGTAGAAAGGCCCAGATTTCTCTCTTTAGTCTCCTCCGTCAACTCTTCTGGGGGGAACACTGAAGCGTTCCCAAGCCAACTGAGAGACATAATCTCTTCAGCATGTCTCGAATTTGCCCCGGGGCCCCTTCCCAGTTGGACATGTCAGAAACACCTGGGAGGCGTCATGAAGGCATCACAGTCGGATGTCTGAATCATCTCAAGTGGTTCCTTTCAGTATGAGGAGTAGTGGCTCTACTCTGACCCTCTCACAAATGACTCTCACAGAGCTCCTCATCCTGTCCTTATGAGTGAACTTAGACACCTTTCAGAGAAAACTTATTTTTGCAGCTTGGCTTTGCCATCTTATTCTTTTAGTCACTACCCATAGCTCGTAGCCATAGATGAGGGTAGAAATGTACACAGACCAGTAAATCTTCAGCTTTGCTTTCAAACTCAGTTTTCCTTTTCTCTTTTTATCATAACACTTCCTAGTCTGCTAGGGCTAGTCTGTCTTGTAAAGAGAATTTTGATGTCATGGTAAAATAAATGTTAACTAAAAATGAATAAATATAATACTCAAAGAGGTGGATGAGATAACCCAAATGTCCAAAGAAAATCAACCTATCTTTAACCTGCCAGCTCTTCTACAAACTCTGCATGATCTCTGTGCCCGTGCAGCCATGTGAGAATAGGGCAGGTACCGGTAATTGGCATCTTCCTGCAGGAGTCTGTGTCTGATGCAGACTCCTGCTGTGTGCTGCATGTGAGATTTCAGACAAGGTTCTGAGCTGAGTCTCACAACATTGTGCTGATCATATATGAACAGGTATGATAGTGTGTCAGGTTAACATAAAATTGATGTTTTTTTATGTTTTATTTCTTAGTTTTTCTGCACTGAATGTCCTTTTGTTATTTTCTTGAAGCAGAGATTAAAGATTATTAGATTTAGTTAGCAATTTAGCAAGCTCGCATAATAAAACACATCACAGTGAAAATGTCTGAGTTTACCACTGCAGCAGGAAGATCAATGCATATTTTATTACCATCATAATTAAATGTTCAAAACATGAGAAAATCACCGCAATGACAACCCTTGAGTTACTGGTTTTCTGATCTTTGCATTTTATTCCATTGTGTTGCTAATTCAAAAATGAAAGACTACATAGGTTTCATACAGTCCTGATCAAAAGTTTAAGAGCACTTAAAAAATGGCAAAAAATCATATTTTGCATGGTTCCAAGTAGAGCTTCAACATGCAACAAGAAGAAATGGGAGTGAGAAAAAAAAAATTGAGCATGCAATTTATTGAAAACAACACTTAAACTGAAACACCTGATCAAAAGTGTAGGACCTCATGCCTTTAAAAGGCCAAATCTGTGCAAAAATGGGGATTCATTGTCATTTTCTGTCAGGTAGTCACACTGTCATGACATTCTGATGGCCAAAGCAAAAAACGTTCCCTTTTTGAATGTGGTCAGGTTGTTGAACTGCATAAGCAGGGTCTCTCGCAACGTGCGATCGCTGCTGAGCTGGGACGCAGTAAGACAGTCATTTGGAATTTCTTAAATGATCCAGAGGATTATGGAACAAAAAAGATCCAATTGGCTGTCCATCAAGACACTGGATAATCCTCAACCCAAATTAAGGTCGTTACTGGTGCCGACTGCAGCCCCATAAACATCAGACGGCATCTGAGACTTAAGGGCTTCAAAAACAAAGAAACATCTCCTTGAATGTCACAGATCTGACCGTTTGGACTTTGCAAGAGAGCACCAATTAACACCAAACATGGGCAATTGAAAGGTGGAAGAAAGTTTTATTCTCTGATGAGAATTTTTTTTACCTTGATGGTCCTGAAGGTTTCCAGTGTTGCTGGTATGATGTTTTCAATGCACCACGGTGGAGGGGGCGCCATAATGGTCTGAGGTGCTTTTTCCTTGGAACAGTGGAGCTTCAGGAGGTGCAGGGGCGTCAAACGGTGGCTGGCTATGTCCAGATGTTGCAGAGAGCATCCTTCATGACTGAGGGCCCTTGTCTGTTTGGTAACGACTTTTTCAACAGGACAATGGTACAGTACACAATACCTGCAGGACAAGGGACTTCTTCCAGGAGAATAACATCACTCTTTTGGATCATCCTGCGTGTTCCCCTGATCTAATTCCAATTGAGAACCTTTGGGGATGGATGGCAAGGGAAGTTTACAAAAATGGACAACAGTTCCAGACAGTAGATGCCCTTCGTGCGGCCTTCTTCACCACTTGGACAAATGTTCCCACTCACCTTGTGGAAACTCTTGCATCAAGCAAAGCGCAACAAATTTTTGAAGTGATCAACAATAACGGTGGAGCTACTCATTACTGAGTTCATGTTCAGAACTTTGATTTCAGTTTGGTTTTTTTTTTCTTTTGGGGGAGGGGGTTACAGGTTTCTTTGGAGGTGTGGTCCTAAACTTTTGATCAGCTGTAAAACAGCCTGTTTCAGTTGAAGCCTTGATTTCAATAAATTGCATGCTCAAAAAATGTTTTATCTCACTCCCATTTCTTCTTGTTGCATGTTGAAACCATGCAAAATATGATTTTTTGCCATTTTTCAAGTGAGCTTAAACTTTTGTTGTGAAAATGAATTTTATTTTCGGCTTTGCATGCAGGCAAATGTGCTTAAAACAGATAATTTGTAAGATCAGAGCAAAATGTTTATGCCATTCATAGAAAAATTTAAATCTAAACTGAGATTTCTGTATATGCAGGTAATCACCCTCAAATCTGGGAACGCAATGTGATGTCTAAACCAACAGGCCAACTGTTAAGTCCTCAAATATTTTTATCTAATAAGTACAGCATTTTTAATTAATAAAAGAGTAAAAACCTTAAGTGAATCAAGTAAAAGCAATGAACAAGGGAAAAAAATAGTGAAATGATGGTGAGAGAGTTGAATTCCAAATCCAAAAATCTTTAAATCTACGTCTGGATTTACAGTAAATTGCATCAACAGTTCCCTGCTTCGATTGTCCAACCATCACTCTGTCTCTTCTTTTTTTGCAGTTCAGTTTGTACAAACTCAACATTATACCTACGCACTTCAGCAAGTGTGTGTGTGTTTGTGTTAGTATGTGTGAGAGAGATGCAGAGAAAGAAAGACTAATTGATCTTGTGTGAAGGGCAGCGCTCTACTGGGATAGCTGTGCTCGCACACACACACACGCTCCCGCAACAGCATATCCACAGGAGAGAAACAGCAACGGCCTATAAATAAATAAGCAGACATAGGGCAGCAGAAAGAAAGAGATGGTGATGTGTACAAGGGGATGGAGAGAACTGCTGTAAAACGTGTGTCAAAGAATCAAAGACAAAGCCAGTGAGAGGGGTGGTTGTGGGGGCTTTAGGCTCTGTATAAAAGATATAAGCAGGAAATAAATGAAAAATGAGGGGTGGGGTGGGGGGGCTGCAGGGTGATCAACAACTTGACAGAAGAAAGAGGAGGGAAAAAAGATCTGCAGAAATGATGGAAATAAAATATGAATGATGGGATCACAAGGAAAAGAAGAGTAAAGGTAACGTACAGGAGGGGGAGGGTTAAAAACAGGTATAATGAATGAAATGGACACGGACGAGTGAAAATGTTGAAAGAAAAAAAAGAAAGTGGAAGAAATTCAGGAGATATAAGTGAGAAGTGAGTGGGAGGAGGATCCTCCATATTCATCTCCTATCTTCCTCTGGGCTCTTCAGATGCTAGGGAAGAAAGATAGCTGCAGGAGTTCTCGATCACTCCATTTCTCCTGTCCTTCCCCTCATTCTGTATTCCTTTTTTCTTTCACACTCTCCCACTGCAGGTCTTTTCAGAGTTACTCTATTCAGTTTGTGATATATGGAGAGGGTTTTCCCTGCGAATAATGCTCACCTGCTGCAGGCTGTGCACACCAGGCCTATTGAACCCCTTCTGTACTGCACATATTTTACTGCTATAGATATGCACACACACATACCCAGATTATTCTGTTCACGAATGCATCCAGATATCTGTCTTTCAGTAGATGCTCTGATGACTTTTTATGCATAAAGTAAAGCAAAAAGCATCTCTGGACACATTTTGTAGCTTAGTGTTGTTTCTCCATTTCTTAAACACAAGTACTGACAATCTTCTCAGACCTACAGGTCAGCACGAATGTGGAATAATAGCATCAGCTTGATACTTCCTTTTTTACATCATTCAGTTTTTGATTTTTAAATGCGCAGACCTTTTTCCTCTGTCTGTATTTGCATTAACATTCAGCAGTGTTACAGGGACAAATCTCTTGCATAAGATTTCTGCATCAGCAGTGGCCTTGATGGACCAGCCAAGTGCACCCGCGGTGTCAGTCTTTATGAGTCCTGCTGTCAGCGTATGAAATCTAAGTTTGTTTAAAATGTTGCAGACAACTGAGACTAGCAGACAGCATAGATTTGTCTAAAAACCACAAACTGGTTTAATATAATATTTAATGAAAGGCTACTTTTATAAATACCTAATCCAATGAGAGGATGTTGGTCGTCCTAACCTGTAGGTAATGGCCTGGCAAAGTTACAAGGTGAATAAAGTAACTGAAGAAATGTGTTTCTGTGGATAATTTAGACTTTTCTCAGATTGTTTACTCTTTTCGATAAGGCTGCTTGTAGCTATGCAGCTTGGATCGAAGGATCCTGTGCAGGCATCATTTAGCTTTAAGCAAACCAGAAAGGTTAGAAGTCAGTGTTATCGATCGCTGTGGTTCTGTTGTCTGCTAGCTTACGAGACTCGGGCAAAGACCTTCTTTAGATGCAGTAGTTAATTGGTGACTTTGTCTGCAAAGACGGCTGACTAACTGTGATTTAAATGTTCTTTGTCGCAATTTCCCTTAAATGTACAACTGAAATTACTGTTGCATTTGACAAAAAACAAAAACGTAATTAAGCTAAATACTTGCAGCAAATCTGACCTTCTCCTTCAGTTACTTCTACTTAGTAAGATAATCCTTGTTTCCCTCTTACAAACAGCAGGCCGTGGATCTTTTTGTTCCAAACAAGTGCCTCATTAGTTCCACTGCATTTGCCTGGAAATGCTACACTTTTCCACAACTATTAATTTCTTCTTCTCACTGCCTCTCGTATGCATAGCCGAGAGCTATAGCTTTGTAACTAGCTCCGTATGACGATGAGACCGTATTTCTCTTCAATTTACTCTTCCGAGGAGAAAAAAAAAAATAGGGGATAAATCAGGAGACAGCAAATTAATTAAATTACTCTAATTGCTTTGCGGTTCTATATGAGAGGAATTATAATTGGATTGTGGGCTTGATGTGTGTGTTTGTATGTCATGGAAGTCAGAATCACTGGCTTGTTGATTAAGCCAATATTGTAACTTATTATTCATGGGCTACTAATTTTGTTGGTTTATTCTTTGAACTTTCTGTTTAATAATTTAATTTTAACCAGAGGATAAGGGGCCACCTCTTTAATTGGTTGGCTTGTCAGTTGATAGTTTAGTTTGGCTTTGAGGTTCAAACAAATGGGCTGTTAGCATCGTGGGTAGAAAGTGGTGAAAAATTAGGAAATTATAGAGTTTGAAATGACTCCAGCTGTGGCCACTACATGGAAATTAATTTTGGATTTCTCTTTATTACCAGAACAGATTTTATTGTTAAACAAGAGTGGAAAACTTAGCCGGGGGAAGCTGCTGCCCGTAAAGAAATAATTAAGAGTAATGCCCGGTTAACATCAGATGCTGTTTCTATTATAGCGCGTATTGAATCCCCTTCTGGTGTCTTTACTCTGGAGAGAAGTGAAAACTGGCAAATATGCCGGGTCAAACAGGGTGAAGTGGATTTGTATCGACCTTATCTTTGTGTGCGCACGCTCATACATTAAGGCCGATGCGCGTGTGCATTCATGTATATGTGTTTACTCACAGCTCTTTTTGTTTGTTTGTCAGAGACGGAGAAGTGGAGGAAATGGAAATGGAGAAGGACTCGAGCTTTATCGGTGCACAGTTCTTTAAAATATGTAATCAAGAGAAAGGAGGACAGAACAAATAAATAGAAGGAAGATTAAAGAGGGCTGCAGAGGTAGAGTGGAGAAGAGAAATGAATGGAGAGCAGCCGGAGAGGGCGGGAAACAGCTGAACAACATTGGCAACTTTAATCCCTGCAGCTAGCGGGGTAAAAAGCACAAATATAAACGGGGAGAAGCAGAGGAAGGAGATGTGAAGCGGGAAAAAGGAATGAGAGATTAGAGGAGGGGGATGGAAAAGAAAGGAGAATAAAGGGAAAGAAGAGCCGGGTAAATGAGTGTTTGAGAACTCCAGTGTTTGCCAACAACAAAGCTGTTTCCTAACAGTCCCTAGTGTGTATTTATCTTTATAGGATGAGCAATGTCCCAGTTCAGCGTGTGTGTGTGTGTGTGTGAACTTTCACTGTAACACATGTATTTGTAAACATTTACAGTCAGTGTCATGCACACATATCAATAGCAGTCAAGCTTATCCATTTTTATGCATATGTGCATCTAAATCCATTTGCTCCACAGATACGAATTATAATTAAATGCATTTAGAGGAAAAAGAAGAAATCCCTCTAATTAATTTGACAGCACATTTTCTTATCTGCAGATCTTGCATTAAATATGTCCGTGTGGAACGCAAAACAAGAGTGTGTTTTTTAATATGTTTAATAGGCCCTGTGTTTATTTTAAAACAGCTGCTGCTGTTAGATGGATTTTATTAGTTTTGCATTGAAGTACACCAGAGTTGCTGAGCTGTGTGTGTGTGTGTGTGTGTGTGTTTGTGTGTGTGTCTTCTGTGAGAGATGTGGGAGTCTCTTGATGTCAAAATCATTGATTGGCTTGATGACAGCTCTGAATCTGTCACCGCTGATACACAAACTGCGTCGTTTTCTGTCACTGGAACGTTCCCTTCTAGAGACAGAAGGACTGAAAGGTGGTAATTTGTCTCCTTGGCTGTGTGTACTTTTATGCAGGCAGCAACATCAGGTTTTGAATGACACATTACTTGTTATTACCCATCTACTCTCTTTAATTTCTTACCTTTTTTGTTGAATTATCTTTGCATTACTCTGCATGACCTCAGATGTGATGTACCGTCATTTCTAGTTAACAGTATAATAAACTGTGCATTTCCTGTATAACAGCACACATATGTGCTGGTAAAGACCTACAGAGAAGGTAACAAGGAGTTGCACTGTGTCTTTGTAGGGTGCCAAGAGAGAAACTGTGGGACTGGCTGAAGAAGTTTGGAGGGATAGAGAACTATGTGAGGGTGAGGACATGAAATCAGTGATAGAGAGTCTGGAGAGGTGGGCAGAAAAGGAAAAGTCAATAGAAGGAAGACAATACAAGTGAATGTGAGGGGAAACGGGTGTAACAGTGAAGCTGAATGGAGCAGAGGTAGTGAAGGTAGATTAGTTTAAATATGTGGGGTCAGTCATCCAAACAAGTGAACAGTGGATAGCAAAGAGGAAGAAGAGAGTGCAGGTAGGGAGTGATCAGAATGGAGAGACAGAGGACACTGACGATGGAGCTACCAAGCAGGAGGAAGAGGAAGACTTAAGAGGTTCATGGATGTAGTGAAGGAGGACATGGAGACGGCTGGTGTGACAGAAGAAGATGATAGGGTGAGATGGAGGACGATGATCCGCTGTGGCAAACCGTAAGGGAAGGAGCTGAAACAAGAAGGAGAAGAGGACTGCCAGTAGACTCTATACTGCCTCAGATTTAAAGACAGGGGCTGTGATGTAATTACTGTGTACGGATTAGTAAGCTAATATGTCACATCACTCCCTCATCACAGGTTCCCATCCTAGCTCATGAGTTATGCTTGTGTTCTTTCTCTTTTTTCTTTTTTTCTTTTGTACTTGTCCTCCTGTGTTTCCTCTTCCTTCCTTCTGTTTTTGCCTTATTGTCTCCCTCTCTTTCAGTGGCTGATCATCTTCATACCTCACGCTGAGTGTTCCAGTGTCCTCTCTCTTGTCTGGCAGCTCCCTCTTGTTTTGTTTGTCCTGTCTGACTGATCAGCTGTGATCAGACCTTCCTTACGAACATCTGCATTTGCATCGGCATCATGCATTTGAGTCCTCACTTAGGGTGTACCCCTCTCTGATAAATGGAATGAGATTATAGTAACGTGCAACTTTAATGCATTACCTTGCAGCGGATTGAAATTTGGACATATATATATGCATTAGTATCAGTGTTTTTAATGCTTTTATCGTTAATGCCAAATAGAGTAAATAAGTATAAGCTTTGACATACAAGCGTGCAAAAAAAAAACATATTTAGTCACACTTGTGTATTCAAGGAAGTATACTCAAACAAACATGGAGGCAAGCTTTTTGCACACTTGTAGAAACTCTAAATATTCTACTTTTTCTCCCTTGCTGTTCTTTTTCTCACTCATGCATACTTGTTTATGCATTACACATGCACTGAGACACTAACAGGAAAAGCAGATTTTATTAGTCTTGTTTATGGCTCTTGCTGTTTGGTTCCATGCTGTGAATGTCAGTGGATTGCCTCAGACCAAGCTGATGAATTAAAGGAAACCCTTAATGTTATATCATGTATGTCCCTGCTGATAAATGAAGTTGATTTAACCTCATTATGTAGTGACTTATTTCTTTTAAGTGACTTGTGAAACAATTAAGTTGCTGGTCTTGCACAAGTTTGTCTACATGGGATATTACAGCATACAAATGTGTATGCTGTTGTTTCGCGACTTTCATTTCAGTTTCAATGTGTATATTTAAAAAGTATGACCAAGGAGTGGGCACCACACTGGTTAACGTCCCTGGAAATGCTTAGATACTAGACAGGAAATTGGGGATGATTGATGAACCTAGGATGTAGCAGGCGTAATGTGAGCTTTATCCTGACTCGGCAGCGATGAACTAATTATTTACTTTTTGTACCGATATTAGAAGAGCCATGTGAGTTTGTGCATCCAGTGTACATGTTTTCTATAAACTGGCAGAGGGCTTGTGAACATGTCCCTCAGGATTTCCTACGCAGGACTCTGCTGTTGATTTAACCCAGCCAGCCATCCACATCCACATCCAGGGGCAGAGCGGTTTTATGAATACTAATTCTCTGTTTAGTATTGCAGCCATTTTTTGCATAAGAAGAAGCATTAACTGCTCCCGTAAGAGCAGTATGGAGCATTTTCAAGCAAAAATAGAATAGATAGAATAAATGTAAAGGAAAATTACAGTGCAAATGATACCAGAAGAACAACACCCTGAAAGAAATGAAAACAATAATGGAACTTTTCACTTGTTGTGGTGAAATCTAATTACATGTATATGTTGTCTTTCTTCCTAAAGACAGTACTACCCCGATCCCCATCCAGTCCATGGGATCCAGCTGATGAGAGTTGGAAAGCTGCAGCATTACCTGGAAAACATTGAAGATGCTTTGGACACATTCAAACAGGTTTGAAGGACTAAATATCAACAAGGACATTTTTTACATTTTAAACTTTATTATAAGCTAATAGAACAAGTCTGGAGACACGTCTGTGTACCAGGTCATGTTAGTCTTAAGCCCTTGAAATGAAGGCAACAGGACTTCTTTTACGAACCAAAAATGAAGACCGGTTGCCTTCATGTCAGGCACCTAAGATCGTGTGGAGACATGTAACAGAAGAGATGATCAGGCAGGATTAAAAACATCTTCGGTTAGTTTTACAATAATCTCTAAAGTACTTAATCTTTAAGTAAAATGTCATGAAAACAGTTGCTTTCAGTTTCCTTTATAGAATAGATTGTGTAGCATTATGTGATGATCCTGTTTCATTACATCACCATACAAGATTGTTCTGGCACTAACAGGGAAGAAAGCTAGTTATGCTTATGTCTCCTATTCCAGGCTTATGGAATCGTAAAGTTCACCCATGGTGAAGATCACCCATTGATGACCGAACTAACGATGAAGATGAAGGAATGTCACAGTGAGATGGATCATCATTCCTCCAGCAGACACTAAGACGAAGGCGAAAGAAACGTCTTCATGTAACTGATTTCACTGCCTTACGTTCTTTTTATTCATCAACCTGAATAAATGGATTTGTTATTTTGCCATCCATACCTGACCTTTATTGTCTCAACAGTCTTAAAGTAAGGAACTGTTGTTAAAACAGCTCCAGCAACATTTCAGGCTCCTCTTTATACTTTCTCATGGCAAATAAAACTTTTTTAGCTTTGGTTTGGTGCAGTTTTACGTTAATCGCTGTCATAAAATCTAGCCATAAAACATCTCATTAATGATATCCAAGAACCTGCTTTTCCCAGAATTCCATGAAACGCCAGTGATATTTCTGCAGTTTTGTAGCCAGCCTGTTATCCTGTTTAAATTAGGTTTATGGAAACATTTAAGCACAGTTAATCCCATTAATCCTAAAGTTTCTGCATCCTGTCCTTGTTTGAGAACTGGAAAGGAAGAAGCTGAGGGAGGGAGGAAAGCCCCTGTTGGCCCCGGTCTCCTCTGTAATCTGTAGATTCCATTGTGATGAGTGATCATAGGGTGTGTGTGTGTGTGTGTGTGTTGGTTTAGTAAAGTACATACATCACCCTCTGTGCATTTCCATCACACATACTTCCCATGTTAATCCCTGTTTTTGTTTCTCTGTCAGTGTATGAGCCCAGAGTGTGTCTGCAGCACACACACATAGTTTTCCCATGTTAATCCCAAAATTCTGCCATATGCAAACTGATGACACTATGTGCTAGGGGCATGTGTGCACGAATGGGTGCTTTTCTGCCATCTTTCTGAGTCTTCTCAAAAAACTGAGCTGATTTTTTTCCTTTTGGCTCAAAATATTTTTTGTAATTATAGAAAAACACTGTAGAAACGAGGTATCAACAGATTATTTTTCAACTTTGAAGAGAGAAACGGTGCAAGCTTACTGTGTTTCAAAGACTGAGTGGACCCTAGTGGAGTGAATGGCCTGTGGGAGCCGTCTGTGCTGCTGCACCGCTCCTACCTACATTACTCATTTCATTGGTTTTGTTGCTTTCAGTCCTTCACTCGCTCACTTTTCCCATATAACATCCATCAAATGAGATTTAGTGTTTCTTAGCTATAACCTCCTGTCTCTCCCTCTCTGTCACTCACTGTCTCTCTTCCCCATTTATATATCTCTCACTCTCCAAAGGCTTTCAAATGAAATTCTCTATTTGCCGGAGTCTCTCTTTCTCTTTCACTGCACGTCTCTGCAGGCAACCTGACCACACAGAAATAAAGAACACCAAATGTGTTTTTTTTTTTTCTTTCTCCACCTCAATTCATTCCCACCTCTACCATTTACTCAGCCCCATTTTTTAATTTTCACATTTTCATTCTCATTTTCAGAGACACTCTATTTCACTGTTCCTCCCCCTGCACCACCTCACCTTTACTGTCACCTTACTCGATATCTGCTAATATTATTCATTTCCTCTCACTCCATCTTAATAACTCTCCTCTCCATAATTTACCTTTTCTTAAAGATACAAAAGTCAGAAGTTTTCCTGCCAGAACTGTGGGATTTGTGTCTTTGGCTCACTGATGTTTGCTTTTACTCACTTTTGCTTCAGTACTTGATTATATTTAGGTAATTAAAAGCAAAAAAACCAAGCATTAACCCTGCAGCACAATGATGCTTACCCAGCGTGTTTAAATGAAAGACCGAGAGGTCCTTTAAGTGTCCACATGTGACAAGTTAGTAGTCACGTGTAATTTGGCGATGCTAGCAGCTTTGCCAAAATACAGTATTTGAGGCTGTGAGGATGAGAACGCTGTGGCTTTTTCAGTCCTTTGATTTAAGAGCAGACTCTTAAATCAAAAGACTGTGAAGCTTAATAGTAACTACCATTACTGCAGTCACCTGAAAACACTTAAACCTGTTCTCTGCATGTTGACTAAAAGTTGCACACTTGCTTTTTGAGGATTTTTAGCTATGCTAGAGTCACTGTTCTTGCATTCATTGGTTCCCAATTTCTTAGGCTGTGTGTGCACTCCACAAAAACCTAAGAGCTACAGCTCAGACTCGACAGGCCTCAGTTAGCATGTTAAGTTCACGATAGTAAAATTAAAGACTGAACAGGTGTCACTTGTTTGGAAGGTTTGCCACAAGAAAGGTTCTTCTCTCTAAAAACAGAAAAAAA